CAATTGACTTTGGGACATAGTTGATCAATGTGCTGGTTGACTTTAGTTACGTAAACTTCATAAACCAACTTTATTGATTGGTTTGTTGGATGGTTGCAATACCAACCAACCGTGCAACCAACAAAGAATATCTTCTATGAATAGTATTTTAGTATCTTGCTTGGTTTGTTCCCTGGTTGATTAGTGGGTTGTTGGTTTGTTCTCTGGTTGGATTGTTCCCTAGTAAGTTGGTTGGTTGGTTTGTTTGTTCCCTGGTCGGTTGGTTTATTCTCTAGTTGGTTGGTTGGTTTGTTTCTCTGGTCAGTTGGTTGGTTGGTTGGTTGATTATGAGATGTTTGTTTCGTTGGTTTATTCCCTGGTTGATTGGTTGGTTAGTTCGTTACCTGGTTGGTTGGATGGCTGTTTGGTTAGTTTTTCTTTTTCCTGGTCAATTAGTTGGTTGATGGGTTGGATGGTTGGTTTGTTCCCTGGTTGGTTAGACAGTTGTTTATTTAGTTAGTTGATAAGTTGGTTGCTACTAGGACTGGACAATTTTGCTTTGCTTTCTTTCCCCCAAAACTGCAATTTCATTCTAATTCTCTTCTATTCTAACAAGCATATACAATTTTTGTCTCCAATGCTTCGTTGCTCACACAGACCTAAATGCTTTCCACTTGAGTTTATCATTACTGTACTTTGAGGGTATGTTAAAAGGTGCATACTTGTAGCTTGCATGCAGGCTAGCCGCAACTCAATCTTTCCTTCTATGTAGCGGCTAGCCCACAATAAGGTTAATACTACTAACTAAAGGGCTAGAGTGAGAAAGGCTCTAAACCAGGGGTCACCAAAGTGGTGCCGGGGCCCTCATGGGCACATGGGGTGCCCACAACGTCTTCTGAAAATGGCACCAATCACCAGTAGGCTAAGATTGAAATGTTATTGTATTCTGTTGCTCTTCTTTTTTAAACCTTTATAGAGCATTTCATCATTGTAATCATGCAGATCATTTAAGCATTTTTAGAGATTTCAAAATCACAAATAATAACGAAAATCAGTAGTTAAAGGAAACAATAAAATTATGGTTATTATGTATGAAGTTTAGGTGAACATTGATCCCTCCAGTTCATAGGTCAGTATTGGTAGCCCTCCCTATGACTCAGTACCCAGGAAGTAGACCTCAGCCTTAAAAAGGTAGGTGACCCCTGCTCTAAACACAGTAAAGGTTGCTGACAACCTTAGTCAATGATCTACATTGGGTTTTGTAATTTAAAAGTACATATAGTGAAATATACTGTCTTAGTGTACCCAATACTCTAACAGTATCTTAACTCCAGTGACCTGCTGGTATCACCACACCCAGCTCTGCTCTGAATGGGTTTAAATCCCGTTCAGACACACCTATGATAATTAGAACAGATATCAACTGTAACCTCAGCCTTCTGGCCTGGAAATCCCCTTTTACCTGTCAGAGATGTTGCCTGATCAAAATTAGGAGGTCCATGTTAAGGGAAGCTGTAATTTAGATCACTTTAACTTGTACTTGAATCTGAGTCTTAGTATTAAAAAAAGGTCTGCAAAATTTAGTCAAGTTTGTAGATTATTGTGTTAAATATTCTGGACATTAATGTTAGAACAAGTTTTGGGCAGCAGATACTCAGCAGATGTTCTTGTCTTTTTAGCACTTTAAGTTGATCAGTAAGTTGGCTGCTATTATTTTATTTGCAATTTAAGAACAAGCTATAAGCGGTTGGTTGTTTTGAGACCTGAATTCCAGGAATGTGGTTCCATATTTAAACCTTCGCATCTAAACAAGCTCAGCATTGGTCGCAATATGAATCTACTATAATGTAACCACATTAACAAGACTATATCTGTCAACATAAACAAATACTTTGTAAAAATATTTATAAATATTCATATAATAACTTTGATAGGATGACCAAACGGATGCTTGAGAGTTTACATACACTTCCTTTAAAAACAAAAAAAAAAAAACCGCCAAGAAAAACAAACGAAAATGACAAAAGTAATAATTTATAAAAATTAAATTAACTAAAGAAGTAAACATGCCTGATGGAGCTCCTGAAATAAAATTTTGTTGAGCAACATTTTGTGGCAATCGCTGAAATCAGGTGTGTCCTGTAATGTACAGAAATGTTCAGTCACACTTCTGCACCTGTTGACAGGTAAGTTGGTCGACTGTTCATGAGGAATGTACTTTTATTTTATCAGGGATTTTTTTTTGGTTTTTTTGGAATATTCTTAACAAAAAATAAATAAATAAATATTTTATTTGACTAAATTATCATTTAGTATTTTTTATTTATTATTACTTCTTTCAGTTTTGTATTATTTGAAATACTTGTGTGAATGTATCATTATCTTTAATAAGATCATATAAAAACTTCATCTGTATGTGTTGTAATCTTGATGTGTCATGTTGATGATTATATAACTATACTGTAATTCCTTCCACTTGAGCTACCTTGTTATTTTTAAATATGAGACAAAACATTTTATGCAAAAAATGCACTATTAATGGGGTATGCTAATAATAACCATTAACATGCTCACAGATAAAGCTTTCCGACTGAGTAAACAATGACTATGTAAACAGGTTGAACTTGTTGAATCATCTAGAACGGGGTGTGAGTGAAACCGGAGGACTGAGCATCTCTAAGAGACTCATTGTTGACATTCCAGAGGACCAAAGCATTCAGTCTCCCACCCACCCAGCAACCATGGCGCACACAGTTCCTTTATCTTGATGAGGAGACCTTTACAGCTTTTTCTTTTAAAGACTAAATCCTAACCTTTCAAAAGCAGAAGGATCCATTTAAAACCCCAGTTTGGATTGAGCCGAAAGGACTTTAAATAGTTAGGAGGGCAAACATATTTACTTTATTTTATTTTGCTTCATCAATAAATATTATTTTTTTTTGCAAGCAAAAAAAACAGTATAAAACAGTTGCTAAAGTATTTATTATGCTGATCCCATTTGACTACATAAGAAGGTAAATATATTAAATAACACATTTACACCTCTCTTTAGTGATGCATTAAGCCGGGCATACATTGT